TATACATGCATATATAAATATGTATTGAGCACTTTGTGCAAAACACTATTCTAAGTGTTTTACATATGGTAAACTTCACAACAATTCTGAAACATAGGTACTGTAATTATCCCATTTTATATGATGAAATCAAGGCTCAGGAAGTTTAAGTAACTGCCCAGGTTCACACAGCTGTTTGGTGGTGGGGCTGGGGTTTAAATCCTGGAAAATTTCCTCCAGAGCCTATAGTTTTAATCATTCTGTGATACAGTACCAGAGGAAGATTTTGTTTTCTTCACAGAGATCTGGGAGGTCTCTGGAAAGTATTCTATTTCTAGAAACTACCTACAGGAACTTATAGAGGTGAAGGCTCAGACGCCCTTAAAAACATAAAAGACAATATACTTTGTTTCTAGCCTACCAACTACAATATTGGAATTATTTCTTGAAGATGGAATTGAGAAGCTAAATTTAAAGCACAGAATAAGCAAGGAAGCTGGCAATGCAGCCTGATAGGCTGCGCGTAAGGATTTCTTCACTGGCCCAGCAAACATAGGACATTTGCAGGGGCAGATTCTGCACCAGGCCCTGCAGTGTAGGCCTCAAAGGGTGTCAGTAGGAATGATGAGAATGGAAAATGAACACAGTTATTCCATTCAGCCTTGAAATAAAGAGAAACAGTTTGCCTTCTACAGGAATGCACACATAAGCAAATAAAACCATGGGTGACTCAGTGCTGCATTTTGTATCAGGGAGGAAGGAATGCAGTGACTAAGATGTTACGAGTAAACAACAAATCACTTTCCATGGGAGATAAGCAAGAGCACTATATACCACGACATTCCCTCTGCATAATTTCACAGAAAGTAATCAGAGAAGCTTCTTCAATAGGGGAGTTTTATCTGACGGCACCCATAACTACTTTCACTGGTTGAAGAGACTACATTTTACTCCTTTTCCAATAAAAGAACAATACAAAATGCTCTAAAAAAAAATGTGTTCAGAACTCATGATATTGAAGAGGCCTTGCCAGAGGCAATAAAATTCAGAGAAGCTAGGTGGAAGTTGCATTTGGAATGAAATATTAGACAATACTTAGCTTTCATTGCTAAGGGCTGCCTTTAATAATGCTGCAGCTTACGGGACTGATGAAGTTAAAATAACAAGTTGTGGCATTCGCTATTCTTAAAGGGTTGAGCTGCATGCAGTCTTCACAGGGTAAACAACCCACATAGAAGCACCTGTGCCCCTCTGAATTACTTATATGACTATTTTTTCCACTGCCAAACTGCCTGCATATTAAGTATTCTCTCTATGCACTTCTGGGTCCAGGTGCCAAGAAAAAAACAATTTGCTATAAACTCATTCTTGATCTCTGCATGTTAGTGTTGGACGCTCATTCTTAGCTACAATGTAGGTAAAATAAGTTGTGATTTTTTTCCAACAAATTTTCCAAACCCTGGTTGGAATGCATTGTATTGTCCTTTTACTAACAGAGTGCCTATATCATTCACGATGAACTTATTGAGGTTCTTGGCCTGAAGTAAATGGCATGTTTATGTGAAACTAGTAGAGATTGGGAGTGTTCTCTACGAAGAAATATCTTGACCCTCTCCAGTATCAGGACCCAAGTCACTCCTTAGAAATGTGCAAGGGAAATGAATTTATTTTTCACTCCACCCTTACAAAGTACCAAGTTTCACTGCAGCTAAAAATTTCAAGCACCTAAAACAATACAAAGGCGACTTCCTCTAAGCAGATATGAGCCTGCTTATTTTCTCCTTGTTGCAGTTTCTGATATGCACTTATGAATGTGAACTATACGCTAAGTACGAGAGGGCAAATCAGACTTCAATATACAACCTGCCTCCCTGGAATTTAGGAAAATAATATTTCCCTGTGTTTCCTCAATGAAAATAAAACACAGGCTTATGTTCTGCAAATATTATGATTAACATTCGTGTTTGGGGTAGGAGAGCCCAGCAAAATAACTCCATTTGTGAGGAAGTTGTAAGATTTAGTCTGTAATAAGAAACTAAAATAGAAGGAAGTGAAATTTATAATTAAGTGAATGAATCTTACAAATATTATTTCCACTTACGTTTGGACCCTAGGGTGGAGGAAAGTATTATAATACACGATTCCAGAATAGACTAGCCAAAGAATATCTTCACGATGGCAGCAATTTCCTTGAGGGCCATGTGTGGAGAGACCTGTCCTCACACTTCTCTCCCCTAGGAACTGGCAGAAACCTCAGAAGGAAGTTCTTCCCCGTTCCTGTGAGTGTTGCGTGTCATGGAGAGGAGACAGAACCCTCCCTTACCTGCACAGGTGCTCCCGTCGTAGGTCTCGCACACCCATTCGTGGCACTCACAAAGGGGCCCGAAGTACACGCCTGGCTCTCTCACGTGACAGATGCAGACCCCACAGTCGCACCGGCCCCGGCCGTGGCACAAAGCACTCCCTGGGGGCTGCCCTGGTGCCCGGCACCGGCGCTCTGACTCGGCCTGGGAGAGCCTGCACAGGGCACCTGGCCCGCTTCTGCATGGGATGACAAACCAAGGCAAGGCCATGGTCAAGCACAGACACTGTCCCTACTGCTCTGAGCCCACGTTCCCTCCCAATGTCCACTCAGATGGAGACGGATAACCTTTGAGGCCCCACGTTTCTCAGGCAAACAATCTCCCTCTAGAAGAGCTGTTATCCCAGACGAACCATACCACCCAGAGATTATCACCTGAGAAATGACCATGACTCAAATGTCTAAGCAGTGACCTACCCACTTAGGAAATAGACCATCTTTCAGTTGTATAGAAGTGACTCAGCCCTACCCCTTGCAAATGTGTCACTGAATTTTATATACACATTTAGATTAAATGCAAATTAATCCACTTAGCTGACTTTTTGGTTCTCTTTAAAAAGTCTCATTGCTATATGATAGCCAGGGACAGTTATTTTATTAAAAAAAAAAAAAAAACAGAAGAGAAGAAAAAAGAAAGAAAAGATGAATATATAGAAAGAACTATACACATTATAATAGCATAGGACATAATGCTTTTGAAAGTTGCATTAAACAGTGCTTCTAAACTATACTTTTTAAAAGTTTAGCTTTGCAATGCACCTCAAAATCTCCTACAAAATGTAATACAAAATGTAATATAGATCCATGAAATAATTCTGCCTTATAGACTATGAAAACATATAGATACACATAGAACTACCTTTTAACTAATGGCAGAAATTCCTCATATATGCATTGTCATAAGAGGAAATTATGTATTTATTCAATGCTTCTATTTTTCTGAAGCAAAAGCTAAAGGACAGAAGTGAAGCAATACACAGCATAGATATGAGGAAAGGAACAGAAACAGGTTGAAAACAGTTCATCCCGTGTCCAACTTTGTAACTGCTCTTGGCTTAGGGCAGCCATCCTGCAAGATTGAGCCCTGCCACGCAAAGCAGGGCAGGTCTGTTTTAAAGAAAAACAAACCAAACTTACCTCAGAGAAGGCAAGAAGCTTTGAGGAACAGCTGACAGCCCCGAGAAGAGGAGGGAGGAGGCCAGCAGCAAGAAGTTCCTGAAGCCTGCGGGACGCATGCTGGGCTCCCGGACTGTGGAGGAGACCTGTACCTCTGCAAGGTGGAGCTCACAGAGGGAGGCTGCAAGACAGCGAGGTACCACCAGCAGATGGCCAGGCAGAAGGACCCACCGACGCTCAGGAGCGCAGGTCCGGGGCTCTACCCGGAGCTGCGAGTGCGTTGATGAACTGCCTGCGAGGATTTGGGCAGCGGCACCGCTCTGGGCGGGGTGCTGGTGCCAAACTCCTCAACTGGAGAGTCTAGGCAGGAAAGTAATTAGAAACAGTTGTACAAGCAGATGGTTTATTTTGACATTAAAAAAGAAATGTCCTGTTCACAGACTTGAGAAAATCGTTTCTTTCTTCAAGTACAAGCCTCAGAAATATCTGACAGAAGATTTGAGCTAGCTGATATTGAAGGGACAGATAAAATAATCCCCAAGATGTGAGGATAAGGGAGAGGCTGGTAATGTCAGCGTGAACGCTTGGCCGGGGAATTATTCACCACATGCTTTTAAAGAATGCACTTTTGGGATATGAGTTGTGAGAGGCAAGCAAACGTGATAAACAAAACTTTTTCTTGTACGTTTTATCTTTTGTTTTAAATTGTGGGTATTAGATTTCTTCGGGCTTTAAAAAGTGTGTTGATTCTAGTTGTCCGAGCCAGTAGTTTATCACATCACATTTTTTCTTGACTTGGACAGTTCAAATAGTGGTTGTCCCAAATTCACCCCACTTTTCTCCATGAATCAAGTATGAGGAAACAAAATAAAATGATTACTGTATCAATTGCACTGAAAAGTCATTAGTGTCCTTTATTAAGCACCTATTATGTGCCAGTCACTTAGTATATTTGATCTCTAATTGTGACAAGAACCACACATTCGTTTATTTATTTTGCAAACACGAATTTGGCATTTATGAGGTACCAGGCTCTGTGCCAGTTAGAGAAGACACAACAGGGACTTAAGGAGACATGATCCCTACTCTGGGAATCCAGTGTGCTAGCAGATATTAATCAAAACAAAAATGCAAATATAAAAGGATAAAAAGTTGCAAATGCAATGAAAAAAGAGTACAGTTACTTCCAGATTAGCTAGATGTACCTTATCTAATCAAAATGATGTTATTTGAGCTAAGGAATAAAAAATGAATAGAAGTCAGTTTGGCAGAAATGGGGAAGTGATGGAAGAGAGTAGGGAAGCATTCTTATTTTAAAATTCAAGAAACTGAGGGCAAAGAGTGACCCCTTGCTCAAAAATAACCGACCTGCTCAAAATCACACAGAAAGTTAAAGTGAGGTTTCAGCTGAAATCTGTGGGAATTCAAACCCCACACACTGTCCCCTACATTGTGTGGTCATTTGAGAAAAGTATTACGGAGGGTTATATGGGAAGGAAGAAAACATTCTTCTTTCACTTTAAGAAAAGCACCTTAGATGCAATGGTTCTTCATGAAATAAAACCATCCAAGCTGTGATTCTGTGACCTTAAAATTAGGAATAAGCTATACAGGATGGGATTTCTCCCTGTCATTTACATCAACAGATATAAGACCAGTCCCAACATTTGCCTGCTGGGGCAAGAAGGCAAATGAGCATCCTCTGAGCAGAGCCCACCGCTTTCCTTTTGCTTCCTCAATCTCCATCTGCACCAGGAGGGGCTCTGCCTGGGGCACATCCCAGCCTGCACAGCTAAGCCTTCTCCAAATGGCTGATCTTTTGTCAACCCTTAGGACCAGGCAGGTACATGCTGGTGGCTGGATCTATCATGAAGTGGACATACCGAGGAGAGGTGTGCATGGGAGAGTCTTGGGTACCTAGAAGACTAGGTTTAGAAGGAATGACATAGGCTCTGGCTTGGGAAGTTCCCTGGATCATATGAACTACTCATCTTGTGGGGAGGAGGTATGTCTGGAGGCAAGACAGAGGGAGTCACTAAACCAGTCATTCCCAAAGTGAGATCTGTGAACTAGCAGCAGCAGCAGTGCCTAGGAACTTGTTAGAAATGCAAGTTTTCAGGCCCCTACCCCAGGCCTACTGAATCACAGGGTGCATTTCAATAATACTTCGAGAAATCTATTTGCACATTATAATCTGAAAAGCCTTGCAAAGCCCAGGGCTAAGGGCTGGGGCCACAGATGGCTGCCTCTAAGGGTGGTACTTACACTCACTCCTAGTTCAAGTTCTGGCATTAGATGACTTCCTAGCCATGTGTAACACTATGAGGACATAGGAATAGGCTCTCTTGCCAATATCTAAAAAATAGTGGTGACTCAGAGAATATAGGAATAGTAGAAGGGAAGCATCAATTCCAAAGCCTGAATAGGAATTTACAATGAAAACATGGAGCTTTTAATAAATGAGTCATACTTTCTGAGAGAAAAAAAAATCACTGTGAAATAGGGACCTGATGTTTGAAGATTTCTTTCATAAATTAAAACATTTTTTTAACTTGCGTTGTTTTCATACCATGTGGTATGCAATGAGGAATATTGTCATTAAAAGCGTGCTTCTGTGAAGGAAAGATAGCATGTACTATGTGACTGAAAGTATTTAAATATTCAGATCATTTTATTACTGTGACTCAGAAAAAATATTCCCAGAAAGTTGAAATAGTTATACTGTGGCTGACTTGGTGACTCAGTAGAAAGTCTTGGATCCATAAAAACTCTGTCAAAATAAAATGAATAACTTAAAATTTTCTCCTTTTAGCAAACTTTGTTTTCTTTTTTCTTCTTTTCCTTTTTTTTTTTTTTTTTTTTTTTTGGCCAGAATACTAAATGCCTTGGAAATACCGACTTTCTCTCCTCTCTCAATTTGCAGAAACCTCAAGGGCACACATTCTAATGAGAGCAAATGTAGGGTCCAATGGCTGTTTGGAAGGCCCTGAGTTTCTCACTGATGCTGAAGACCCTGTGACAGGTCTGGGGAAAAGGTAGTGGGTTGGATTCACAGTGGAGGGTCCCTGGGAAGATCGTTTAGAACTAAACTCAAAGGAGTTAAAAATATCTTAGTCCTTGAACATAGTCCTTGAGTCCTCAGGTTACAAAATCATAGAATCTCAGGATTCAAGATCTAGTCCCAAATTAAATTTGTTGACAACATGCAACACAACTGCCAAATGATTAGATAGACTGATTAAGAAAACAAAAATGAAAGAGAACACATCTTTTCTGAATGGCTCTGAAGTTTTCACCCCTTGGTTTCAAATCTACTCCAAAAGGTCATTTAAAATATTATCTTGATCATAGCCTTGCTGAAAATACTTTAAGATGTAATATATGTGTTCCTCAGTCCTGCTACCTGTCCACACATTCCTCAAATAATTCTACACTTCTCAAGATAAACATTCTCATTTACATTACCTCTTCCTTGTATATTACAACTTCAGGTCTTCAATACCCTGATTTCCTGAGTGTTTTTGCTTTGTCTGGGACGGTTTCTTCTGTAAAGTATAACATGTACAGCTGAGACCATAAAGTAGGTGTGTGGAATTGTTTTTTTTGTAAACTGGACCTTGTACACAGAGGGCAAAGATAGACCAAAGAAAGAGTCAGACCACTCTAAATTGGTAGTGTTAGGTTTAATAAGCAAGGAAACTTACATATGAAGCTTGTCTTGAGTGGTTGCCACAAGACAAGTAGATCTCCAGAGCCACCCGCCAGAATCTTACAAGTTTATAGGGAGGCTTTAACTGAGTTCAGTCACATAAACCATACAGATGGTCTCAATAACACATTGTTCTGTCAAGGCTTGAAAAATGCTCCCACCGTAGGAACAATGGGCAGAAGTTACATTCCAAATACAGGAGAAGGAGTGAGGAGCCTCCAATTACCAAGGTCTAACTCAACCTAGTACTTTCAGCATTCTAAGTTCATATATTGTACATCTACTAGTATACTGATGGTCACATTAACTTTTTGACTGTCTCATTACTCCAATGATGGGCTTTCACGAGTATATCATTCCCCAGATATAAATCGATATTTATCTTTGTTCAATTTTATGCAGTAAAAATCATTATGGACGCTATTTTCATATTTCTCTCACCCTTCAAAAAGTAAGTCTTATGAGTACACTTTCTCCATCTTTATCTAAATAATTGATAAGTTAATTGAAAAAAATTAGTCTTAGGACCAAGCTTAGATGAGACTGTTCTTCAAGACAGTAAATCCCTTAATCAGCACATATTGACTAGGCAATCCAACCACTACCAGTGTCTTAAGTTTTCTGGAATCAGCCTATGTCTTCACTGTGTTTACAAGAATCTTATAAAAGATCTCATTAGTTGCCTCGCTAACCTTAGTTTCCCAGGTAAAACTTGGGCTTTTGCACCTCTCTGTCAGTAACTAAAACATACATATTATATACTCAATACATATTTCCAGCATGAATAATTAACCAAAAGTTATCTACAATGTAAATAATTGATTTAGGAGTCAACAAATGATTCAGGTGATACGATGGATCCTGGATCAGTAGTCAGATGACATTTGTAAGCTTTCATATCCTCCGAACATCATGTATATACAACATGAATCCAAATAACACCAGATCCTCTTTCTATATCCCCAATTTTTATTATTTATATCATTTGTACCTAATTCCTATACCCGTAATTTTAAAAGCTATCTTCACTTCTTTTCTCCAATTTACCTGGATTATCCAATAAATCTCTGACTCATGTTAATTCTATTTCTTAGTAATCTAGACCCCACTTCCACATCACTACTTTAACTTTTATTTTGTGCAACATTGCCATTCTTTTATAACTGGTCTTGCTGCATTCAGTCTCATCCTTTTGTGTCTACCTCTTACCCTGATCCCCAGGAGATCTCATTTACACATTTCATTATGTTTATTCCCTACTGAAAAATAGTTTAATAGCTTTCCACTGTGTAGAGCATAAAGCTCAAGTCCTCTATAATTTCATACAAGACAATTTATGTTTAGACTCTAACTGTCTTCATAGTGAATGCTCCACCCAGATTCCCCCTCCAGGGCCAATGAATTCATCCTCTTGCTGCTGGCAGTATGGGCTGCTGATGGCTCACAGCTGTCCCCCTCACCAGAAATTGCCCTATGCATCAGGAACAGCCTCCCCTAAGGCTGATCGCTCAGATCCATGACAGTCCTCTAATCCTTACCTGCAATAGTATTGACAGCCTCATAACCCTTCTGTGGAAAATGTAGAACTGGATAACTTTAAGCTGTACTTCATGTCAACAAGGCAAGAAACTCAAAAATTAAAGGCACCAAGATGTGTAACATGTGAAGCTGAACAAGAAGTTTTTGAGAAATATTTATTTATTTATTATTTAGGAGTATGTATATACATATGTATGTATGAATGTCTGTATGTATATATGTATGCATGTATT